ATCTGCGGTAGTAGCTCTTTGTACGTAATCGTCAATCCAACCGTTCGCGTATTAAGGTTGAACCTAAACCCAAAGGTCTAGGTGTTATATTTCCTCCTTCTTTGTAAAAATTTCGTCCCAGAAATTTGCTCGAAACTAGTCCTTCTATCAACACCCTTCTTATACTTCCTTCCCACGATCATTTATTTTTACCATAACAACTTCGTTGGTACCCTTTGTTCATATATGTTTCCTTAGCTTGTAGCACTCGTGTAATCATGAGTGCCTAACTGCCCTTTTTACTCCCCAACGTGACCCAAACGCGGTGAAACAAAATGCCAATTTGGCTTGTCATGTTGATCCAATTCACCCGGTAGTTGATGTTGCACCTAAATCATAAATCAAGATATCACATTTCCTCCCCACTTATAGAAATTTTGCCCTCGAAATTTGTCCATTGTGGCTACTTCCAACCCGACTTGTGGTAATACTTCTTACTATGAGGAATTGAACTACCTCAAAGGCTCTACTTGCTTTCTTTGACATTTATTAGAACTTCCCTCGAACGTTCTACCTTTCCGTCTATCCTCGGTTGGCTTAATGACCTTCTCATACCTCGGCTTAGACGGTGTCACCTCCAGTCTTGCTTGCTGAAATCTGGCTACCCTCTCGATGTGGTACCCCTCTTCTTGAGTTTTGACTGCCTTGAAACGGATCACTATCTCGTGACTTGTCTAAACTTGGTGATGGTGATTGAAAGATTCTTCATCCTTTGACCCCATGTCTGCCTCGCCACTGTAGAACACCTCACCACTCGCCATGGATCCCTCAAATACCTTATTCTCTATCTTGTAACTACTGGTTACATAATGCGCTTGCTCTTACCTCCTTCTTTACATCGTTTATCTCGATGGTTGATTCGTTCTTTTCAAGATCTTCCCGCCGATCTAGTTTCCCAGGTCCACGATTCCTCTTCTTATGGACTTACTATATCCATAGGGATCCCTCATTTGTTATATGTACATGTATGTGCCTCTTCCTAGCCTTTTAAATCCTTTAAGGATCCCTATGACCTCCTTAATTCCTCGTTTGCTTTGCTTAAACGCCCATAGTGTTGCTTAAAGTCTAACCTCCACTACTTCTAGGGTCGTAGCCCTACACTCGATTCTCGTGAATTTAACGAATCTTCATTGCTTCCTTTCTTCTAGATGATGGCCACCTTTTGGTTTAACTCCCTTTCCTACTGCCTATCAATGTCCTAGATACTTGGCGTCTTCCTGAACCTTATACCGAGAAGCTCGCATCCGCGTAGGGTATGAGCTGCCTTGGACGACACTTATCGCTCAAAAAAAGAGAGCTTACTAGGACGTCCCCCTAGGACTCCTCTCCTTCCCGAGACGTATCATAACCTCCTGGGGCATCCTAATGTTATTTCCCTACCATGATTAGAGTATACTGGAGATTCAAAAAATCCTCGAAAGCATTTGACTCGTTTGGCCAAACTTTGAACATGCACTCCCTTTTTCCTTTCCTTTAAAAACGAAACCCTTGAAAAACGCAAATCGTCACTTTGGTATTCCTTGGAGACCAAGAAACAGAGGAGTGCCAGCTCTGATACCAAAATTCAACGACCCGCTCTTTTCGAAAACCAAACCATAACTAAACCAATAACCGGTTACTCCGAAGCAACCGAAACCACTTTTTAAAATAAATAAACCGATAATGTATAAGAATTTCAAACAAAAAGGCTGAACACTTGGGCAAATGACAATCCAAATACTTAATACGAATAACTCAGAATCTCTAGTTTATACTCCTAACCATGTAACAAAGAAATTAAACTATTCTAGCTCTGACTCTTCACGAGTTCCTTGACTTCTCATCCATGCTGGTGCAGCTACTCGCCTCGCCTTGCCTCTTCTCAAAATCCGTCACTGCTAACCGTTCCTTGACCTGGTGAGTGAGAAGGGGTCAGTCTCGTCGTTACTTCCTAAGGTCTTTGCCCTAGGGAAAATTTCTACTAACACTTTATTAGAGATTCTTTCCTAGCACGAAAGCCGTTCTCGCCTTCTCCTCTTAATAATCATCCTTTCAGCTAGCTTATTGAAGCTCTCTACTTCTATCTTGAACTCGTAGAAGTTTTCTACTTCTATCCTTACTTAAATACTTATACTAGGGAATCACCGCGCTACGTATCGCCGTCTAGTGTCCCTATCCTAGTATGCAATCGCGTTACATCTCATCATCTGATTGCATACCCAACTTGGCAATGGCACTGCGTTCGCCTTGCCGTCTAGTCCATGCCCGGTCAACTACTGCGTTATGTCTCGCCGTCTAGTATGAGCCCAACATACTCGATCAACTGCTGCATTACGTCTCGCCGTCCAGCAGTGATCCGACCATCTACCGCGTCCGGTAGTACCCAACCGCTCGGGGATTCATCTTACCATCAAACAACTATTACAATCATATCGCGCATTACTAAAAAATTAACTAACTAATAAATTGAACGAAAAGCATAAACTAAAAGACCTATGCTAGAGATTTTATCTCTTTACACTCACCTCTTGAGTCGCGTCCACGTCTACATTCTCACGCTCAAGCTCCAGATGATTTTCCTCCTTTGGCTACTCCTCAACCGGTTCCCCGTCTTCCCCTTCGACGATCCTCACCGTTGGATCTCAGCCACCCTTCTCTTCGAGCTGCCGACACTCTAAGTCGTCTAGGAGGATAGGGTCGGGGCCTCTCCATTTCTTTACGACCAACAGTCGCGGTTGTCATCGCTGAGTTCCCAGCTTTTCTCCCGTAACCGCCAGTCACGGCTCTTCCTCTCTTACTCATAGGCATGAACCTTTTCATCACGCGAGAATACGAGGCTTGGTCGGCGGCTAACTTTCTCACCTTTCTTTACTCCTTAACCGGATTATCCCAGGAAACCTATTAATAAGAAACTCGTTTTCTTAGACGACCTTTCTCGATTCAAAAACCCCTTTTTATTTACCCAAAAACCCTCTCCTCCAAATTCCATCCTCAAAACTCACTCCAAAGATCCCTTAGCCTCATTTAACAATTTTCTAGAAGTAATCCCTTCAAAACCGACCCTTTTGCCTAATTAATTTCTCTTATATGAATTTTTCACCTAACTTGACCCCCTTAAGAATTTGGATAACAATTTTCCCATGTCAATCAGAATAACCAAGATCATGGAAAATTATCAAACTCTTGAAAAACCTCGCCAGGATTTTTATTTAAATAAAATCAACATTCGTCTAATTTCTAATAGTATTAATTCATCTTCCAAAATCTCCAAATTAAATTACAGCCATCCCATATACCCCTTTCAATTTATAAAATTGTTAAATCTAGAAACCAACACCCATAGTGGCTCGAAACAATTAAAACATCTAAAAACACGTTTATGAAAATCTCTTGTAGCTTTAGTGACCACAGAGAATTGTCACTAAAAGCCCGTAAAGTATGTCGCTAAAACCCATAATTGCACCCTCACGAAAAATTACCAAATTGATCTAAATAACTCAAAGGGATCGAGTTCCCTTACCTCTAGAACGTTCCTAGGACTAGGTTGGATGGTTCGGGACGTTGATCTCCTTGTTGATCGATGTTTGAGACCTCAACCCTCACCGCAACCGCTATTGCACTAAAATACGAGTTTCGGATTAGAATATCGATGAAATGAGATCTAAAACACGAGGGCTATCGTCATCCTTACCACCAACTCCGGGACTTATGCGAGGAAAGGCAATGGCGACTGTTTTTGTGGGGAACTCGCGTCCTCTTCTTTCTTCTTTTTTTTTTCTTTTTCTCTATTTGCTGCTGGGATCAAAGAAACCCCGAGGGTGAGGGGAACTTCCCTGCTGCGTGCGATTTCAAGAAGGAGTTCGCTTCCTTCTGGTGCCACTGCGTGCGGTTGTGGAAAAGGGAAGGGTTTATTATTGTTTGTGGGGGAATTTCTTAGGGTGGGGAGGGCACATGAGATAGCGAGGGTTTGTGGGAGGGCTCAGCCCTCTCCCCTATATATATTATTATTATTATTACTATTACTATTACTATAAAATAGTAATAGTAATAGTAATAATAATAATAATATATATAGGGGAGAGGGCATAATAATAATAAAAATAATAATAGTTATTACTATAATTATTCCTAATCTGCTATAGTAGCTCTTTGTAAGTAATCGTCAATCCAATGCTTATCCGAGCATTAGAGATCTTTTAGTGACATAGGCTTGTCTAGGCCTTAGTTTTCTTTGACGAATTTTTAGCTTTCTACTATTTTTGTAGTATGTGTTTGTTCATTTTGCAGGTGTAGTTGTTTATAGGGCTACCCATCTATGGCTAAAAAGTTCATTTTATCGATAGTTCGACTATTTGTCGATTGTTGCACGATATTGTTTTCTGTCCTTTGACTATGTATGGGCCAGAGATTTACCTGACCATTTTCTATGTGGAAAAAATGGAATCGATTATCTATATATATGTACCTGTTAGATTGTTGAACAATTATGGAAATAAAGAGTTGTGTTGTGAAAAATTACAACGTGTTGCTAAACATTGAATAATATAATATAGCAATGATAATATCTACTACATCTAGAGGTGGCAGTTTTTGATCCAATCCAAATCCATCCACTTAAATATCTAACTAATTCAATCCATTGGATCCAAATCCACTTAGATTGGTGGATTCATTGATTGATCAATGAATCCAAATAAAAAATTATAATTTAATACTTATGATATTTATAATTTACATTTTGGTACCTAAAATTTATTTTTATGCGAAAAATGTCATTAAAATTATATTTTGGTACATAAAATTTTCATTAGGACATTTTAGTACCTAAACTTTTCAAAATTTACACATCAGTCCAATTAATATATAATTTGCTGGCCGTGACAATAGATCCAAATTCCAATTTGTTTTCTTTTGAGAGGTTGGATGAATTAATGGGAAACAGCATAACGAATTGTATAAATAAGAACAAGTCCCCCAACTCAATGAAAGATTGCGGAGAAACATTTCCTAGCATCGATTATCAGGAAAGAAAGAAAGAAACAGAAGGATGATATCGAAACCTTGTCTTCCGCCGGGGTTCAGGTTTCACCCAACGGACCAGGAGCTTCTCATCTACTACCTCAAGCAGAAAATCACATTCTCTTCTCCTTCCAACTCTTCTTCTTCTTCATCGCCGTCCATTAACATCAATTGTCCCGATCAAGTCTCTCTCATCGCCGACATCAACATCTACAAGTTCAATCCATGGGAGCTCCCAAGTGTGTAATCTTCAGCAAGTCTACTTGGTCCCTCCCAATTCTTCTCATAACTAACTAGCTAGTTCTAACAATATTTCTCGGTCATTGGGTGATTAATAGGCATGGCGTTGTTTGGGGAGAGCGAGTGGTTCTTCTTCAGTCCACGGGACAGGAAGTATCCCAACGGGGCTCGGCCCAACCGGACGGCGGGCTCCGGTTACTGGAAAGCCACGGGCACCGATAAGCCCATACTCTCCACCAATGGCGCGCAGTGCCTAGGCGTCAAGAAGGCGCTTGTGTTCTACCAAGGCCGACCTCCCAAGGGGAGAAAGACTAGTTGGATGATGCTCGAGTATCGCCTCCTCGACGACCCTAACCAGCTCCGCACTCTCAAACGCTCCATGCGTGTAAGTTTTTCAGATCAGCTGATTTTGGGCATCAATATAATTAATTAAGCTTTACTACTGAGGATCGGATTACTAAGATTAAATACAAAATCTTTTTGATGTTGTTAATAATTCTAGTTATTGCGATTGTTTTGTTGTTGCAGTTGGATGATTTTGTGTTGTGCCGGGTAAGGCTGAAGAGCAACGGGCCCAACCCAATAAGAGAAGAGAGTGGTTTCATAAACGGCAGCGGTTCAACTCCACTGATCTCCATGGGGAGCCAGCTACCGCTAGGCTTGCAAGAAACGACGACGGTTAAGGATGAAAGCAAGACGGGCGGCCTTCAGCTGCACGACGGCTACGGGGGATACGATTTCCAGGCATGCCTGGCGTCTCTAGGACACGAAGGTCACGCTGACGTGGAAGCTGGAGGAGGAGGAAATGATCATCATAAACAGGAAGCGTGCACTCCAAGGTACTCGAAATGCGAAACGACGGCGTCTTCTGCCGACGACGCCTTTGAATATTATTCCATCGGGAAGGGGCTTTCCTTCGGAGGGTTTGCGGACCTGGAGCCGACGCCGGCGAAGAAAATGAGGTTGCTTGAAGTAGAAGAAACTCCTACTTTGAGTAGCTGCCGTAATAATTATCCAGGAGATGATGATAATGGCAAATTACACGACCAAAGTAGTACAGTGACTATCTTTGACGTGTCATCATGCAGCTTGTCCCACTACTAATTTCGGGTTTCGTCGAAATGATATATGTTGATTTGGAGAAGATAATGACGAGAAGCACCAATTAAAACTTTGGTTTAGCAACTTTTATCGGTTAGTTTCTTCTCTTTTCTTTCTATAATGACGGGATGTCCATTCAACAAGTGAGCGATTGAGAAGATCCAGATTTCATGAATATTCATGAACACAGATGAAAATTTGTTACCGAATCAATATTTTCCGAACGAGGCAGACATGAATTGGAGAGTGGAGGAAATTCAAGTCTTTTTTACCTTCATGATGCATTAACTTGTACTATATATGCTGATTTGCCCCCACCAGTACATTAGACTGAAATGTCATATGGAAGAAAAAAAATAATATGTGTCTTCTTCTTGTTCTCTATTCTTGTACTTTGATGAAAGGCGGGCAATATAATTTAATGTCATATGGCAGTTTCTGATCTCTTGTTTGTGTGATCTGAATACAAGAGACGTACGACTGCATGCATGTGATGTGGGACATAACGTATATTCCAAACATACCCCACAAATTAGTATTATTATACATACTCTTTCGGCAAACTCTACCTAAGTGTGCATTGATATGTTTTAACAATAAGAAGATGCGTTGGGAAGTCTACTTCCGTGGAATTCCAATTATTAAATTACATCTATTAAAGCACAAGCAAGGAGGACTATTATAGAACTATCTTCCTAGAAATAGGATTGGGTGCTATCTATGTTACCATGTTATTTTGATAATTGTGGTTATTATCTTCCCTCTCCCAATTATCCCGGTGCCCTTTTCATCTGTTTTTAAGTAAGCTCTCTTTCTTCTTCCTCTGCTCCTCTCTCTCTTTTTCTTCTTCTTCTTCTTCTTACAGTGTTTTTCTTTCTTCTGCTGCTCTGTTCAAGCGCTGGCTTATCAATTTTCTTTTTCCTTGTTTTGCACATGTCCACCGAACGGGAGCTTGCAACTACTTTAGATGGCATGACCCGGCTCTTGATGAGAACGTGAAGTATATGGTTCTCCACTTAATCGTCAGTTGCGCGACCTGGAGAATAGATAACAAGGGAGTGTGTCGACTTTTAGTAGCAAAGAAGTGCTACTCTTCCTTTTCTCTATAGCTATGTTCTTTTACCTTTGGAAAGAGAATTAAGAATGGTTCTGATGGGAAATGCAATATGTAGTCAAATTTGATAGGGAATTAAGAATGAGTGGGTCTGATGGGGAATGCAATGTGTATTTACAACTGCTATAATCGAATTTTAAATGCTTATTGTATTTGTTATTAATCATAATCAGAATGTTAATTGTGTTTGTGTTTAACTTGCAGGATGTAATGTGTGTTGTGTCATGTACTTTGAATATTGTTGAGTATCTGGTGATGGAAAGCTGAATGTCACGAAAGAAAAAGAACATTATCATTGTTAATAAGCATGCTTGGAAATCAAAAGGTTGAAGACAAAGAACAAAAGGCTTGCTATCATTCTTAATAGTCATCATCAGATTAGATTACAGTTTAGAAAGATCACAAAAAGAGCAAGTCATCATCCGATTTGTAAGATCAGTCAAAGACTGCATTAGTTCACCAAATTGCAACTGATTAACAAAATGAGGCTAATATAACTATAACTACTTGTTCACCCAAAGGGTACATCGTCATACGATTTAACCAAAATACTAGAACTACCTAAACAACCACTCCTACATTAACTCTTTCTAATCTTCAAGGATTCTTCAACTGAGTCAATTGGCTTGCTTTCTGCGAGCCTTGAGTGGCAAACATTCATACGGTGCTTCAAAGCAAACATACATACGGTGAAGTCGGGAATCTCTGCTCAACAACAACAGTTAAATTGGGGTTTCTCCTTCGTAGCTATTTCGCATAATGGTAGAGGCTTCGAAATTGTTCTTTGTACGTCCCATGCACCAAGTCAGTCGATGTCTTCTTAATCCTGTATGCCTTCATATCTCCAACCTCTCCCTTGTAGTCTTCTTCATTATTTGTTTCAACAAGTTTTTGCTCATTTTCTGATCGGCTGCCATCTTTGTTGAGAGTTTGTTTCCCAAGAACTTGGCGGTTGCAAACTTATTATTGAAAGTGAGATTACAATCACTTGAGTGCTCCAATTTGCACCTTGTGATTTGTACAACATCTGCATGCTCTTTCTTGGATGCCCAAATGTACCATTCACAAGGTTCCTGGCACACTGTGTGTAGCCTCTTTCGATCATTCTTTCTGAAAGAGATTGGTCGATGCTCAATGAAATAATGTGTCTTTATCGTCTCAACCAACAGATGTTTGCTTCTTCATCATATTGCGATTCTCCTCGAATTCTTCTGTCGCAACCGTCCCGTCCGGGGGGTCCGAATGTCGTCGCGTCGGCATTTTTGGGAGTCGCCATCGATCTTAGTTGGAGTGGATCGAACACTCTTAGGATCGGCTCTAACCTTAGGGTCAAAACCGAGATATGGTCTGCGAAAATGAAGTTATGGGTTCGGGAGTACGGTTACGTGTAGGGAAGTTAAGCAACACCCCCACAACGCCCTAAATCGGTACTACTTAAGTCGATAAGTTTTATACGAGTTGGGTGTATTTTAGTAATAATTTGTAATTTTAGGGGTCCCACTGGACCATTTAATGATTTAATCATATTAGTTGTAATTTAATTATACGCCCACTGACGTAAAAATTTAAAGATAAAGTTAGTTGATTAATTGGACTCGAACCTTATCGGTTGCCTACGTACCCGTAAGACGGGATCAAAGTCCACGTAGTTCGCTTGGACTTTGAAAATTTTAAGTAAAATTATTACCACATTCCACTGATCGTGGTTCTCGTATCAAAATTTATTGTTAGTAAAATTTAGGTTGGTATTATGAAATTATAAAAAGATAATGTAATAATTTCACTCATTAAGAGGAGTTTTGATGTACTAGAAAAGAAACGAGATATACTTAATCCGCAATTTTACATTTCGTATTAAGGATTTTGAATAAATAACACTATACGGGTTTATATTATTAACGCATGAGGGCCAGCAGTCTAACTGGCTAAAACGCCAGACCAAATTAGCGTTTGACCGAGAGAACATGGGTTCGAAACGCGCTATCTAAATTTTTTTTGTTTATCTCGTTTTAGAGCAGAGAAGGGGGAAGGGCAATTTGGTAAGTGCACAAAAACGCGGTGGCAAGGCCGCGTAATAAGCTGAAAACCCTAGGGTCAATTTGGTCATTTTAAAATTTGAGGTATATAAGCCTCTCCTTAAAGCGAAACCAAACCCTAGTGGCGGCTGCTCTCTATTTCTCCTCGTTCTCTCTCACTCCTCTAACTCTCGCCTCTCTTCTTCACGTAGAGAGAAAAAAACGAACCCTAGCCGATCTCACCCTCCGCCTCTCTCTCACTCGTCCTCATCTTCTCCAGAGAACCCTAGCCGCCGCCCTCATCCCTCTCTTCTCCACAGACCGAAACCCTAGCCTCCTCTCTCCAAAACCGTCGCTATCTACTTTTACCCTCTCAATCCGCCGTCGCTCTCGTGTCTAGCTGGGAATCCTAATCGACCGTGAAGGGGGAAATCGATCAAGGTAAAAACTCGACATGCATGTTGCTTTTCTTTGGACTTTTGGTTTTTTTTATAGGATTCTGACCTTCCCTTTTTCTCTTTGAATCGAGGGTTTCTGGGTTTTGGTTTCGGTGAGGAGGAAGAAAAAGGCCTATCGCCGATTTGGTAACCGGCGGTGAGGTAGAAACGGTCGGTGGTGGCTGAAAAAGAGACCGCCAGAGGCTTAGAGGTGATATGTGTAAGTTTTATTTTCTGAGTTTTTGTTTTGTTTTTGTATTTGAAGGATTCTGATTATCGATCCTGACTAACTACCCTGATTTATTGCAGATTTGGAGCGGAGTGGCATAGGTGAGGTCTCCTACTGCTCTTGAGAAGTTTTGAAAAAAAAACTCGGCCATATAGCTACAGAATAAATGATTTGCGAACCTGAATACTAAAAAACAATGGTTGTGTGTGTTCTGGAATTTTTTATGTGGGTGGATTTGATCTGTGGTTTTTAGATCTAGCTCTAGATGCTCTTGAAGTTAGAAAAGAAAGGTTCTCTGAACTGGAAATTTAATTAACATACCCCGACTTGTTAGTTTTGACGATTGCAAATCACTGCCTCTGCCTGTGGTTTGCTAGACTGGGAACTATAAATCATTGCTTCTGCTCCTGATTTTGGGTAGATTATGAACTCTAAAATGCGTTTATTGCTTGTGGTTTTACTGAACTATGGTTGATAATTGATTTGTGAATGTGGAGTTCATTATGCTATAGTCATTTTCGGATCCAAATCTATACTGATCTATAAGATTTGAAAATGTTAAAATAGTTTTGGATCATTTCTATGACCCTCTCAATTTGGTTACTTTGTAGTTGTCTGAGTTTGATTGTGGTGTGGTGGATGTGGAATTTCTATTATGATGTTTGGTATTAGCTATGTTTCTTGGCAAAAAGGAAAACATATATGTCGGAAATGGTAGATCTATGAAAACTTGGAAGAAAGATTAATCACTACAACTGGATGGCGAGTAAGATAAAATGGAAACGAGTAGCTAAATTTAAACGAAATACTATTATGTAGTGTACATAATCAATACTAGTAGAGGGAAGACAACAACAATTATTGCTCAAACATAAACCAGTTCAAGGAAAATGAGTGAACATTAGCTAGTTTAGCGGAATAATACGAGAGATGAAATTTGAACCAAAAGAACCTGAGCAAAGGGCAAAATTTCATTATCAAAAGAGTTGAAGTTGAAAAGCTAACCTGGTCTGGTCCGAGAATACCACTCTTTCTTCTATGATCTTCAGCCTTCTCTACAGAAGAAATTGTGTAGTTCTATCTCTAGTGGGTTTCTTCCAATTCGTCCCCCCCAAAACAAAGATCCTGAAGAGCTCATTTATACCAAACCAAACCACCACGTGTCACTATGTGATTCGTCCATTTATTTATTGCGACTTTGAAAGGTGTGCCACCTTTTGAGGTCGGCTGTGGATAGGATGTGGTCAGGCCGAACCAGGCCGGTTGGGTTATGGTCTAATTTCGTTGGGCCGAGCTGGGCCTGTTTGTTGGACGTTTGTATGGGCTGGGCCTGTCATAAATTTTTCTGGGCCGATACTGGGCTCTGTCTAGTCTTGAATTACTTTGATTTGGGCTTAGTCTATGGACTTGGACTCTCACTTGAGAACTGACTGTTCTTCTTTTTTTCTGCAGGTTGGGTTTGCTTTGGGCCCAAAAGAAATAGCAAAAAGGCCTAGTCTTAATCTGATTGGTGCCCCAAATTTTGTAGAGTTAGCATTAGTCATTGTAGTTAATTCTAATTCTTGCTTCATTTAGAGGTCATTACCCAAGTTGTACAATCTTTGATAATAAAGCTCATTCCACTATTCAATTTGTCCCATTTCAAATTCAAATCCAAACTCGAGCAACAAATTTGCACTATAGTCATTTCTCCCTTCTAAATTAGAATTTATATTTAAGATTCGCCACTGCTAATCTTAACTTAAACTGATCCTATCTTAACTAACTATGCCCTAGAATCGACTAGGAGCAAATTTGATAATTGTTGGTTCATATTGACTTGCAACTGCTAGTCTCAACCAAACTATCTTCTACTTCCCTTTTAAATATAATCGTAGTACGATGTTAGAATAATTATTTTCCATAAAACAATTATCCCGGACAAAATGTGGTGTCTACAGTTGCCCCCCTTTGTATATCTCTTTGTATAAAGAGTTATACAAAGTTTCTATAAAAGACATCACATTTTGTGAAAGTAATCTCGATGGTTGTGTTAGAGTTTCAAGGAGATTTTTTGTGACGTGAGAACTGGATGTAGTTTTGTGTGTTGGCATAAGATCGCCGATTAAGAGGGCTTCAATTCCTTTGATAGTCTTTGTCAATAATGGATAATTTACGTTTTTATATAGCGTTCGCCAACGCGAGAAATTTTCTGATACTCATTATATTATATTTCTTTAACGCTTGCCAATTCCGGTTAGGTATTTAATGATAGAGGCGCTTCTCAGCTCCCGTGCGTTGTTGAATGATAGAGGGGCTCGCCAGCTCCTTGTGAGATATTGCTTGGTAGTGACGCTTTTCAGCTCTTGTGAGGTATTGATTGGGTAGGGGTTCTCCTCAGCTCCCGTGCGTTGTTGACTGATAGAGGGGCTCGCCAGCTCCTGTGAGGTTTTGAATGGTTGGGGCGCTCCTCAGCTCCCGTGAGGTATTGAATGGTAGGGGTGCTCCTCAGCTCCCGTGCGTTGTTGACTGATAGAGGGGCTTGCCAGCTCCTGTGAGGTTTTGAATGGTTGGGGTGCTCCTCAGCTCCCATGCGTTGTTGAGTGATAGAGGGGCTCGCCAGCTCCTATGAGGTTTTGAATGGTTGGGGCGCTCCTCAGCTCCCATGCGTTGTTGACTGATAGAGGGGCTCGCCAGCTCCTGTGAGGTTTTGATTGGTTGGGGCACTCCTCAGCTCCCATGAGGTATTGAATGGTAGGGGCGCTCCTCAGCTCCCGTGCGTTGTTGACTGATAGAGGGGCTCGCCAGCTCCTGTGAGGTTTTGAATGGTTGGGGCGCTCCTCAGCTCCCGTGAGGTATTGAATGGTAGGGGCGCTCCTCAGCTCCCGTGCGTTGTTGACTGATAGAGGGGCTCGCCAGCTCCTGTGAGGTTTTGAATGGTTGGGGCGCTCCTCAGCTCCCGTGAGGTATTGAATGGTAGGGGCGCTCCTCAGCTCCCGTGCGTTGTTGATTTGTTCCCGTGGCTGTAGGGAAGACTTTGGAATTTGGTTGCCCGGTGTGGTAAGCAAAGTGGGTGTAGATTTATCCCCATGGCGATAGAGCATACTTGGGATTTTGTTTGCTCCCTTGCGGTATGCAGAGTGGGTGAAGGTTTTTTCTTTCGGTTGCGGTAAGCAGACTCGGGAATTTGGTTGCCCCCTCGCGGTATGCGGAGTGGGGTTAGGTTTTCTACATTGTCCGTGATAGTCGACGAAACAAGTTTTAGAAGGAGGGATCTCATTTGCTCGTGAAAGCCGACGAAACAAATTTACTTAGTTATCTAAACTGCCCGTGATAGTCGACGGAACATGTTTAGCATAGGGTATAATTTGCTCGTGATAGTCGACGAAGCAAATTGACTAGGTTCTCTAAATTGTCCGTGATAATCGACGAAACAAGTTTAGCATGAGGGTTTTAATTTGCTTGTGATAGTCGACGAAGCAAATTGACTAGGTTTTCTAAATTGCCCGTGATAGTCGACGGAACAAATTTAGAAGGGGTTTTAAATTTGCTCGTGATAGTCGACGAAGCAAATTGACAAGGTTTTCTAAATTGCCCGTGATAGTCGACGGAACGAATTTAGTAGGGGGTTTTAATTTGCTCGTGATAGTCGACGAAGCAAATTGGCTAGGTAATTTTTATTTGCCCGTGATAGTCGACGGAACAAGTTAAAAAGATGGTCTAATTTGCTCGTGATAGTTGACGAAACAAATTGTCTAGGATTTCTAAATTGCCCGTGATAGTCGACGGAACAAACTTAGCAGGGATCCAATTTGTTCGTGATAGTCCACGAAACAAATTGACTAGGTAATTTTTGAATTGTCCGTGATAGTCGACGGAACGAATTTAGTAGTGGGGGTTTAATTTGCTCGTGATAGTCGACGAAGCAAATTGGCTAGGTAATTTTTATTTGCCCGTGATAGTCGACGGAACAAGTTAAAAAGATGGTCTAATTTGCTCGTGATAGTTGACGAAACAAATTGTCTAGGATTTCTAAATTGCCCGTGATAGTCGACGGAACAAACTTAGCAGGGATCCAATTTGTTCGTGATAGTCCACGAAACAAATTGACTAGGTAATTTTTGAATTGTCCGTGATAGTCGACGGAACGAATTTAGTAGTGGGGGTTTAATTTGCTCGTGATAGTCGACGAAGCAAATTGGCTAGGTAATTTTTATTTGCCCGTGATAGTCGACGGAACATACTTAGCAGGGATCCAATTTGTTCGTGATAGTCCACGAAACAAATTGACTAGGTAATTTTTGAATTGTCCGTGATAGTCGACGGAACAAGTCACAAAGATGGTCTAATTTGCTCGTGATAGTCGACGAAACAAATTGACTAGGTAGTTTTTGTAATGTCCGTGATATTCGACGGAACACGTCACAAAGATTATCTAATTTGCTCGTGATAGTCGACGAACAAATTGACTAGGTAGTTTTTGTAATGTCCGTGATAGTCGACGGAACACGTCTATTAGAGGGCTCGCGATTGTTCGCCCGCACCGACATCGTATGTTCATGGTATTTGTTTAGGACGTTCCTAAACCGTTGTTATGGCTTGTCATAAATGCACGTGAAAGCTAAACATGAGACTTGAAGAATTCACGTGAATGTAGTTTTATCTTGTAGTGATTCCTTTTTACAAACATTGGAAATCCAACTAAATGTATGAGTTATTTTGGGAATTGCTGGCAATAAATGCATGACCCATTTTAACATATGATGTTGTTTAAGGAGTATCAAAATGATTTTTGAAATTGATGTGTGATGTGTGATGCTAATGAAGTCATGAATACTCATTGAAAAAAAATGATATGATGCATTTGGCAACTGTTATGAGAATATGTAATTTTGTTTGGTTTTTGTTTTGTGTTTTAACCCGGGGTTCCTTTAAATTGCTCATCCTCCAGGAATCGTCATTTCCTTTTGATCGACTCGATCCTTAGGTCATGTTTATGTTGGAGAGACTTTAAGCTTGCTCGCTTTAAACTTATCTTCGTGGTGATAGTTGTACGAGGGTATACTTTGTGGGGTGAGCAGGTGATGTATATTGCTTCATTCTTCTTGTCGGCCAGACTTGGGCCCACATGTTTTACAGTTGTATATCTCCTGGTATGTGCGGTATGTTGGTTCCTCCTCCTTCGGGCCATGAAGTTGAAGGATAGTAGCTTCGCTGGTTGGTTGAATGAGATTGAATGCTCTCTAATTCCTTGAGATTTCTTCATCAGCTCATGAGTGAAGTTGATTAATCTGATTCTTGGGTACTCAGACTTCCCCTTCTTCCATACTGCACCGTTTTTGCCCCCCAAAGATCTGTTGCTCACTTTCTATTCTCCAGAACAATGAGTGACTTTATCAATCTTGACTCAAGATGAATGCAACAATGTTTGAAAATGTTTGTTGGAGAATTAATAATGAAAGCCATATTAAGACTTTGCTTTCGTAAAGTGCGTGCAAATTGGATAAAATCGTTTTTGCGTGGTGGTTGCCATGTTGCCAAATTTTTTTCAATAAAAAGAAGTGTAAGTCAAGCCATGAGAATATCAGTAAGCCCTCACTCTCACTCTTGCTTTTGATTTTGCTCGCTCTCACTCCCTCTTTGTATTTCTCTCATCACTCAATCCTATAGGTGATTTGAGTGTACGACACTTCAGCTACCATTAAGATTCTAGTCACCTTGTGACGTCGCCTTTATGTGGTGGCCAACTGCGTTTCTTGTGAAGATTTACTTAATGTGGAAGCCTTTGATGCAATTGATTTAGAAGATCTCCATATGGTTCATCGCAGACGTTTTGATCTCCCATAAAAGAGGCTTCTTGCTCTTGAAGTGTGGTTTATTCATATGGGTGACAGATAAGTCAGATTTTGTTATTACCCCTAAGGCTTCTTGTAGAGGGATTCTGGTTTTGCCCCCAATGTATGGGATTGACATGATGGGTTGAGAACTACTACTATCCCAGACTTTTTTTTTTCGGCGAAGATTTGTTTGAAAATGTCGCCAGTCTTGAGCATATTTGGGGGAATGTGTGTTTGGCTGGCTTTGCCCCCTGTCTTTGAGATTATGGTTTCAAGAGTCGTGGTTTTGAAGTTTTTGCGAATGTAATCTGGTTATGGACTTGTCAAGGTTTTTGTTTGACCTCTAAATGTTGATTATGGTGGAGTTTCAACTTCTGACTTGCTCTCAAAATGACGAGTACCTTGGATGATGTGATTTTTTTGCCAAAGGGCTTTCTTATCATGGAAGATCGTGGCTTGAGGTCATCATACTTTCTTTGTAAGACCTTGACTTGGTGCATGCGGTTGATACTTCAAATGCTAACTAGGGGCACCTAATTTGTAAGTCCCACAACATATTTTCTATTTTTTCACTAATTTTTTTTGTTTTTTTTTTGTTTTGCGCGGGACTTACTTGGCTATGGTATGCCCCCATCTATGCTTCTCATTTTTCTTAATTCTAAAATTTGTTTTTCTTGACACAAGTATAAGAAGGCTGAGGGTTTGTCTTGTTGATTGAGAATGTGGGTCCCTTTTGCTAGCTAGCCTGATTTGGCTATTCCCTTCCCGAAGAAGCGAGATTGCTGGCGTTATGTGCTTGTTTGTATATATAAGTGTTTCGTGCGTGTGATTCCTTGGTTTGCATAGATTGCATCCTTGAACTCCTTCAATCCACTAGTCATGACATTCAGTGAGAAGTTTCCTATCCATAATGTTGAGTCCCCTGTGTATCGCTGCACTGGGATTTGGCTATTTGACTTCATATGAACGGAGTCTCAACCTGTTAGCAAAAGTCGACTACAGTGGCAACAAGGCTCTACAAGTAGCGTGATGTCCTATACTCGTTACACCTTTTGACTATTAATTTTGACTCTCAATTTTATATGAACTCAAGTAGAGTGTTCATACTCTTAATGCCAGTGGGGCGATTAAGCTCTCGACACTAATGGGGTGTTTAAAATTCTCAACACCAGTGGGGTGTTTGCATTTTCTTAGCATGACAATCTCATGGCTTAACTTGAGCATGCAACTGGATTTTGACGGGTTTCATTTTTGTAGATTTTTAAAAAAAAAAAAAAAAAAAAAACATCAGAAGTGGTATTCACTATTTTGATTATGAAAACCCATTGATGCAAACTCTAAAATTAAGATTGATAATGTTCACACAGTGCTCCGAAGAGGTCGTAACGCGAAAGACCTTTTATTCATGACGGTGAAAGCAAAAGTGATACATATTTTGTTATGGCAAATTATCTCGATATTTTATTTACTAGATAGGATCAGCATCATCCTTAATCGAGCTTTGCCTTGTAACATGCCTACTAATTCTCATGAATTGGCAGCGGGTTGTTGCTGACGTCTGGGGACTTAGGATCTTCTTCAAACTTTAACCAACCAGCTTTCATCATTTGTTGGACTTTGATCTTGAACATTCGACAATCTTCAGTTGAGTGTCCCGCTACTCCTGAGTGGTAAGCACAGTGTTGATCTGACCTGTACCAATTTGGATATGGAGGTTTCATTGGCTCACATGGTATTGGGGAAATTAGGTGACTCT